AAATTTTACAAGCCCAAATTTGAAATAAAATATATAAACATTGAAAACTATAAACTAACTAAAAATATATTAACAAAGTAGATTATAAATAATATTTTTTATCTATAAATAAAATAAAATTATATATTTATATTATGTCGGTTTGGTTTGGGTTCGATTTGACTCTTTTTTCTTTTAATACCAAACCATACCAAGAGTGGTCGGTTATTTTTTTCAACCGCCAAACCAACCAAACCAAACCACAAATCGGTTTGATTTGGTTCGTCGGTTCGGTTTGACTTTACGGTTTGACTTGTACACCCTTAGTTGGTAGGATGTGAAAATTTCATCGCTGAGTGAAGAATAACTGTACTCTAAAGATTTAGAAGCTTGTTGTGTTTTTCTTTTCTTTTTTTTTTGAGGGGTGGGGGCTGGGTGGTGCGTCATTTACCTACTTGGAGAAAGAAGTTGCATTAGAGGATATTAACTTTTTACACATTTACACCAGACTGCATGCAAATGTGTCACTGAAACTGTGAATCAGAGTTTAGTTCTGGTTATAAAAAGCTGCTGGATGTAATTGTTTCTTTGATCATTAAATCTTTGAGGTGGTGAACATCATTTTCTTATCAGGATTTTCATGGCATTTAAAGTTTGTGATGAAGGAGACTTCAAATTGAAGAGAATTTTTCTCTCTACCTACCTGGTACTTATAGATCTCTTTTTTTTATATGGTTGTGGTGTCCAACCTAGCTTGTGCACAACTCGACTAATCCACAGGATATCTGTTACCTCCCACCAGCACAGTGACTGGGTATCCACCACAGTTTGGGCAAATAGGAAGAAACACAACTCAACTAATCCACAGGATATCTACTACCTCCCACCATCACAGTGACTGGGTAACTCTATCCACCACAGTTTGGGCAAATAGGAAGAAACCACCTAGTGTTTTTTGCCTCCCCTGGGCATTGAACCTGCGACCTCATGGTTCTCAAGCCACTTCATTGACCACTAGGTCAGACCCTTGGGTGGTCTTACTAATATAAAATCTATTGTAAACATATATCTTAATTTGATCCCAGATAATTCATCTGAGCAATGTTAAAAATCTGCTTGTTCTAATGCCTTCATCATTCAATTTTGGGAGAATAATGAAATGACGAGATTTGTGCCAAAACATATATACCTGCTCATCAAATCTTTAGTAGAGATCTAATTCATTAAATAGCTTATCCAAACAATAACAGCTACTACTTGTAGCCTTAATCCCTAGCGAGTCAGGGTTGGCATATGAATTCTCATTGCCCATGTTCCTCTATAGTTAACGTTAATGGCTGTCAAAATCTGAATGTATCCTAGTTTGCCTTTATAACTGAAATCTGTAGTGTTGTAAAATTTAACCTATTTGTTTCTTCCTGACACTACCCCTTTCAGTCCATCTATAATTTATTAATGGGGCCAGTTACTTTCAGAAACTCTATTATGTTGTGCAATATCCAACTTCCTCTGCTTTCCTTATATCTTGACCTTCTTTTTGTTGGTCTATTTGACTGATTCTGCCAAGCTATCTCTTTGTAATGTGAATTCAGATGAACTGAAACAAAGAGGATGGCTATATTATTCCTTGATATGTCTATGTTAATTGTCATTCATCGAAGTATTAGATGGTTCTTTTGTATTGAAACAAGAACTTTCAAATTCATGTCTGGTCACTAAATCCTGTCTTCTGTGGTATGCTACAGCTATTTCACCTGTTCTTGTGAAACAATTGCGTGAAGAGACAGGAGCAGGAATGATGGACTGCAAGAAGGCTCTTACAGAAACTGCAGGTGACATTGTTAAAGCGCAGGAGTATCTCAGGAAAAAGGGGTTGGCAAGTGCTGATAAGAAATCAAGTAGAGCTACAGCTGAAGGCAGAATTGGATCATACATCCATGATAGCAGAATCGGTGTCCTGGTAGAGGTTAACTGTGAAACAGATTTTGTATCGCGTGGTGACATTTTCAAGGAATTAGTTGATGACTTGGCCATGCAAGTGGCTGCATACCCTCAAGTGCAGTATCTTGTTCCAGAAGATGTGCCAGCGGAGATCATCAACAAGGAAAGAGAAATCGAAATGCAGAAGGAAGACCTATTATCAAAACCTGAGCAGATCAGATCCAAGATCGTTGATGGGCGGATAAATAAGAGGCTTGAAGATCTGGCATTACTGGAGCAGCCTTACATCAAGAATGATAAGATGATCGTAAAGGACTTGATCAAGCAGACAATTTCAACGATTGGTGAAAACATCAAAGTGAAGAGATTTGTGAGATACAACCTGGGAGAAGGTCTTGAAAAGAAGAGCCAAGACTTTGCTGCAGAGGTGGCTGCTCAAACAGCAGCTAAACCTGTCTCCTCGCCAGGAAAAGAGCAACCAGCTGTTGAAGCCAAGGAGACTACTGTTGAGTAAGTTTCTAATTTCTTGATAATTACTTCCTACCAATATATTGTGTTTCTTCAAACGCTGAACAACCAGAAATGTGGCAGCAGGGCATTCCATGACATGTCAAATATATAGTTTTTATTACTTTAATTTTCAATTTGTTTATTGTTGTTACTCAACTTCTCATTATTAAATGATAGTTTTAGTTTTCTGCCATCTTTAGACTCAAAAACTGCTTATACAATCTTCTAAACCTAAGTACACGATTCACTGCATTTATTTTCAAATAAAATCTGGTTCCAACATCATTACGGAAGAGCTAATCTGAAATAACTATCAGAAGACTCTGTCTTTCTCATCTTACTGTGCTACTCCATGCCAATATTTTATCCTAAACTGTTTCCAACCCCAAAACTCGTATATTGTTTTATTTCTCACTGTTAATTTCTGTTTATGGATTCTAATGCAGGCCTCCGAAAGCAGCAGTTTCAGCCACTTTGGTTAAACAGCTGCGAGAAGAAACTGGCGCTGGGATGATGGATTGCAAGAAAGCCCTCTCTGAAACTGGAGGGGATCTTGAGAAGGCACAGGAATACCTCCGAAAGAAGGGTCTTTCAACTGCCGATAAAAAGTCTAGCCGACTTGCTGCTGAGGGGAGAATTGGTTCGTACATTCATGACTCTCGCATTGGAGTGCTAATTGAAGTTAATTGTGAAACCGACTTTGTCGGGAGAGGTGAAACATTTAAGGAGTTGGTCGATGATTTGGCAATGCAAGTTGCAGCCTGCCCACAGGTGCAATATGTATCTATCGATGAGATTCCAGAAAGCGCTGTAAACAAGGAAAAAGAGTTGGAAATGCAGAGAGAAGACCTTAAGAACAAGCCTGAAAATATAAGGGAGAAGATTGTTGAGGGCAGGGTCTCCAAGAGACTTGGAGAGCTTGTTCTTTTGGAGCAGCCTTTCATAAAAGATGATAGTGTTCTTGTGAAGGATTTGGTAAAGCAAACTGTTGCTGCTCTTGGGGAGAACATAAAAGTTAGGAGGTTTGTTCGATTTACTCTAGGTGAGGAAGCCAAAAAAGAAGGAATAATTGAGGAGCCAGTTGCTGTATGAAGCTAACTCTAACTTGAGATGAGCAAGCATAGGAGGACTCCCTACTTGTGGGATGAAACAAGTTTTAAATCTTGGGGTGGAGCTATTTTTGTATAATGTAGTCCATACTTGATGTACTGTGAGGTGATTAGTTTTCTTCTTTTTTACTTTCTTTTAGATTTTCTGGTCATGTATCTGTTATATTTTCATCAGAAACTAGGAGTTTCGGAAGCCATTTTAAAGCAAACATGTAAAAGAGAATCTTTTGATTAAAGAGACGTTTTTCTGAGACTTCATTTTTTTCAACATTAAACTAGTCAATTTGTGAGGAATATTGTAGTATACTTGGGAGTGACTGTCATTTTTGACTACTTGATGTGATGGCCTTTTCCTTCTCATGCCACACTTGCACTGAGTTTGGAATCTTAATGATGGAAAAAAGGCCAAATGTATAGAAATGATGGCCTAAAAAGGAGGAGCATCTATAGGGGCCTTAGTAACGGACCTGACTTAACGCCCGTTACCATTTCTTTGGATAACATAGGTTTTCCCTACGCTATATAGTCAATAATCCCAACAAGAGAAACAAGATAGCATCGATACACTCGATCCACCACTAAGGACTAACCATTGTATCATGATCATAAAATGGACGTGATGACATTTGTCTATACCCACCATGACAAGTCAGTCTCTACCCAACGATACGAAAGAAATGCGGAAAGTAAAACAAGAATAACATAAGAGCAGAAAACTTAGTTATTCTAGTAAATCCCCCAAAACATGGTTGTCACGTGTACAAGCCACTAATATAAATACAGAATTGAAAGATAAGTATAAGTCTCAAAAGTCTTTGTCTCTAGAATAGAACAAAGCATGAAGTAAAATGAACAAGAGCGGTCCGCTGGAATGATAAGCAGCTACCTCTCGATGTATAGAAAGCCTCAGAGATAGAAGAAGAAGTAGAAGATCACATGGGTCCGGGCTCGAAACCTACACAAGTGTAGAAGCAAAGAGTGAGTACCAAACAACACGGTACTCAACAATGGATCTCCAACACACTTTTTCAAAAAAGAGACATCAAATACCAGATGTACCTATGCTAAGTCGGTAGGTAACTCTAACTCATAAGCAACCTTACTAATACGCCTCAAAATCTGATATGGGCCAACTTATCAAGGACTAAACTTTATTTTCTTTCCAAATCTCATTACACCCTTTATGGGTGAAATTTTCAAGTAGACCCAATCATCAACATAAAATTCAAGCTCTCTTCTTTTGACATCGACATAATACTTTTGTCAAATTTTAGCAATTTTTAACCTTTCACGAATAAGCCAAACTTTTTCCATAGCCTCATGCACCAACTCAAGCCCTATCACAGTAACCTCACAAACTTCGAACCAACCAATAAGAGACCTAGACCTCCTACCATAGAGAGCCTCAAACAGATCCAATACTCTAGTGGTAACTATTATTATAAGCAAACTCAATCAAAGGCAAATGATCATCCCAATTACCCTTGAAGTCAATCACGCAAGCTCTCAACATATCTTCCAAAGTCTAAGTAGTACGCTCAGCTTGTACATTGGTCTGTAGATAAAAAGCCATGCTAAGCTTCACTTGGGTACCAAGACCTTTTTTAAATGAACTCCAAAACTGAGAGGTAAACTAAGTTCCATGATCATAGATAATGGATAAAGGAACTACATGCAATCTCACTATTTCCCGAATATAAAGCTTGGCATGTTCTTCGACTGAAAATGAAGTCTTTACGCAAAGAAATTGCGTTGACTTTGTTATTAGGTCCACAATGACCCAAATTGAATCAAAATGATGATGGGTACGAGGTAAACTCGTGATGAAATCCATATTTAAATTTTCCCATTTCCAAGTAGGAATGATAATGTCTTGAGCCAAAGTGCTTGTTTCTAATGCTCAACTTTTACTTGTTGACAATTAGGACATTTAGCTACAAATTCCATGATATCGTTCTTTATTCCATTCCACAAATAGACCTCCTACAAGTCGCGGTACATCTTGGTGGCTCCGGGGTAAATAGAATACCGAGAACTCTAAGTTTTCATCAAAATCTGATTTCTTATTTTGCCAACATGTAAAACATGGAACCGACCTTGGTAATGAAAGATACCATCTACCCCTTTAGATAAAGCCTCAATGGATTTTTTAAAAACCGACTTCTTCAAATTGACCATAACCAGATCAAGATCTTTCTTAGCCCTCACATCAAATACAAGAGACAATTTTGAACCATTTTGAACAATCACACCACCCTCATTAGAATCAACCAAGCGAACACCCAACTAGGCCAATTTATGAACATCGTGAACTAGCTCTTTCTTACCATCCTCAATATGAGTAACACTATTCATCAATAGTTGACTAAGATCATTTGACACCACATTTGCTTTACCTGAATGGTAAAGGACACTCATGTTGTAATCCTTCAATAACTCAAGCCACCTCTTTTGGCGAAGATTCAAGTCATTTTGAGTGAACATATACATCAATCTATGGTAAACACTTCTACATGAACATCATATAGGTAATATATTCCTCCAAATCTTTAAAGCAAATACTACCGTTGTTAACTCCAAATCATGAGTCAGATAGTTCTTTTCATGCACCTTTAATTGTCTTGAAGTATAAGCAATGACTTTTCATGTTTCATCAAAACACAACGAAGACCAATTTGAGAAGCATCACAATAAACCACAAAATCATATGATCATTCCGGTAATTTCAATATATAGGCTGAAGTGATTCTGTCCTTTAACTCTTGGAAACTTTTCTCATAAGCTTCCGACCATAGGAATTTCACCTTCTTTCGGGTCAATGTCGTCACGGGTAAAGCAATAGATAAAAATCCTTTCACCAATATTCTATAATAAATTTTCAAACCCAAGAAATTGTCTGAAGCGAACAAAGGTCTAGGTCAATTCTTAATCACCTCGGTCTTCTTAGGATCAACTTGAATACCTTCACCAGAGACAGTATAGAAAAGGAAATCCACAGACCTCAACCAAAACTCATATTTGCTAAACTTAGCGTACAATTCACGATCCTTGAGAATTCACAACACAATCCTCAAATGCTCAACATTCTCCTCCTCACTCCAAAAGTAAATCAAAATATTATCAATAAACACAATCATGAACATGTCAAGATATTGTCTAAAGACCCTATTCATTAAGTTCATAAATGTTGCTGGGGCATTAGTCAAACCAAATGAAATCACCAAAAACTCATAGTGACCATACTGAGTCCAAAATGCCATTTTTGGGATGTCACCTTCTTTTACCCTGAATTGGTGATAACCCAACCTAAGGTCAATCTTGGATAAGAAACTCGCACCTTGGAGTTGATTAAACAAAATATCAATCCTTGGAATATGATACTTATTCTTATGGTAACCTTATTCAATTATCGATAATCAATACACATTCGAAGGGAACCATCCTTCTTTCGAACAAACAATACCAGAGCACCCTATGGAAAGATACTCGGTCTAATAAAACCTTTATCTAACAAATCTTTCAACTGATCATTTGATTCCTTAATTTTGTTGGGCCCATACGGTAAGAGAAATAGAATAGGCTATGAATCTGGGAGAAGGTCGATACCAAAGTCTATTTTTCTTTCATGAGGAATACTGGAAGATCATTGGGAATCATTTCTAGAAACTCATTTACAATCGAAACTTAATCAAGATTAGGGGTTTCAGAATCTATATCCCTAACCTGAAAAGGATGATAAGTGCAAACCTTTGAAATCATTTTCCTAGCCTTTAGGCAAGAAATGAAGTGACCTTTAGAAGCAGAATTTCCCCCTTTCAATTCGAAAATAGGTTCGTTCAGAACCTGGAATGTGACCAATTGGGTCCTACAATCTATGGAAGCATAGCAAGAGTTGAGTCAGTCCATACCAAGAATAATATCAAAACCTAACATATCAAGCTCTACATTATCAACATGAGTGACTCTATGAGAAACGGAAACAGGAAAATTTCTATAAACTCACTTAGCAACAATAGAATCACCAACATAAGACATAAAAGGGGATTAGAAAGGATTTTGGAACCAACATCAAATCTCATGGCCACATAAGGAGAAACAAATGAAAAGGTAGCACCCGGATCAAGAAAAGCATATACATCAAGATGAAAGACTTTCCACATATCGGTCACAAGATTTGGAGAACCCTTGTGATCCTGTCAAGTATGAAGAGCATAGAATTTATTCTGACGAGGAGCACCTAAATCAGAACAATTAGGCTGAGCTTTCCTACAATCCCTTCAGTACTAGCAAGCAACAGAAAAATTATCATCTTGTGACCATTTTTCCCATAACCAAAGCCACCATCCATACCGGCTAAACATTTTCTCGAGTTACTGTTGCCACACTTTTGGCAAGAGAGAATAGAAGATCCACTACCACCACCTCTTTGAGACTTAGGGTTAGGCAATCTATCTTTATTGAACTTAGGAGCTGGAACATCAGAACAACCTTGACCAGAAAAATTTTGTCGAAATTGAGGATGACCATGTCCACCAGACCGAGAATGAGAAAAGTCACCATCACTGGTCCTTGCCCTCTTTGAATCCCTATATTTCTCTTATATCTTTTCCTCTTCAATTTGTTTGGCATGTATCATCAAACGATAGATATCAATCTTCTTGATCAACGTGGTGGTACGACACTACTTGACTACCATTTTGGACACACCTGATACAAACTTGCTCATCCTTTCCCTAGAATCGACAGCCATAGTTGGAGCATACTTATCCAATTGAATAAACTTATAAGCATACTCCTTCACACTAATATTTCATTAAAGAAGATTAATAAACTCAAGAACCTTTGCCTCTCTCATATCAAGAGGAAAGAAACGATCAAGAAAAGCTCATTTGAATTTATCCCAATCAAGAGGACCCGTATCAATAGCCCTCTGTTCCCTCCATTAGTTGAACCAAACCTGAGCAACACCTTTGAGTTAATAAGCAGTCAATTCCTCCTTCTCCGCCATTGAACTCTTATAATTTCCACTATCTTATAAATCTAGTCAATAAACTCTTGAGGATCCTCATCAACTTTCAACCCATGAAACTCCGGGTATTCATCCTAGTGAAGTCCTTCATCCTTATCACCACCATACCCACATTTGAGTTCATAGGATCAATGGTCTCTCTATTAGCTTGGGGTGTCATATCTTGAGCCAATACTTGGAAAGAGTCTCGAAATTTGACATTAATCACTTGCTCGGGAAAA